AAGGGATACCTTTACTTTAGAGCTGAAGAAATTAAGAATCGGCTAGAAAGAATGACAACTCAAACATCCTAGAGGGAGATTAGTGACAAAGACAAAATGAGAGTCTGGGTCTCCATGTTCCCGGTTTCGACCCTAAGGGGGCAGAGCGGGCCCTTGGGAGTCTAGAATTCTCCTATTTTTTCTCCAGCTGGCTCCTGGCTGCTGAAATCACTCTATGTTGACTCAGTATTAACTTTTAGATGACAAAATTTTGAAGGAATTTTTACTAATAATGTCTTGGCTCGAAGAATTTGTTCTCCCTTTGCCAAATCCAAGTGCTTTCTACTAGACCAGTTACCATAACCAAGAACTGTTTTAAAATCTCTTCTCCCACACAATTCTTTCACAGCCTTTCCTCTCTTACAGCCTCTATGAACATGGTAGAAGAAAGACTGTCCTCTTCTGAAAGATAGGGATTCAGAAATGAGGAGAGGCTGAATGGCTGGCAGAGGGCAGGACACATGATCTGAGGAAGGCCAAGGCCCTCCAACTGGCCATCAGGCATTTAACTCCCCTCCCCCTAACTACCATCACAGGTCTCCAGCTCAAGAACTGTTATCCAGATAAAATCTTCAAAGGACTTTGGAGTATAGAATAAAAATAAAAAAATAAAAAAGTTAGCCAGCTGTTTTCTCAGGCACTCTAAGGAAAATAATTACGTGAGCTACTTTAAATTCTGGAATGTAGAAGGCCTTGTGATTACACACATAACTGTAGAAAATGACAGGGGGAGAGGAAACGCATGTTTTCCTACAGTATCTTTTCTTATAATCAGTCTTTGTGTCATAGACTAAAGGGCGGAAATAACATTATTCTTTGGAAAGGCCAATTCATGCTTACAAAGCCCTCAAAAACTTTATTGAGGACTGATCCCAGCAACATGTCATAGGTAAGGTCTGCGGATGTTAGACTTCCACCTCTAAACTCTTTACCCTACTACTCTGATCTCCAACATGTAGCTGCCAAACCCTGTAACTTGCCATGCCCCAACTTGCTTTCTACTTTTAAGATTCTATGCTTTTGCAATCTCCTCTGCTTAGAATGGCCACGACAGCATCTCTGCCTGCTGAAATTCTACCTTATTCTCTAAGTATAACAAAAGCAGACAGCGTCTCTGCCTGCTGAAATTCTATCTTATTCTCAAAGTATAACAAAAGCAACAATAAAAACAACATTTACATAGTGCTTTCATGTACCAGGAACTATTCTAAACACTGTATGTATGTTTGCACACATCTATGGGTGTATAATATCCATATGTATATTTCTATAACCAATTATTATTATTATATAGTTACTATAAAATAAAATGTATAGTTAATAAATACATAACATGCAATCTACATTTCATATAATAAATTACATTAAATTATATTTAGATATGTAAATATATAAATGTAATACAGATTATTTGATATATACTAGATTATGGTATATCTGGCCATTCAGTATGTGTGTGGGTGTATATATGTGTGTGTGTGTATATATATAGATATAGATGGATATAGATTATGGATATAGATATAGATATAGATATGGATATGGATATGGATATGGATATGGATATAGATATAGATATAGATATAGATATAGATATAGATACAGATACAGATACAGATATAGATATAGATATATTAAAGGCCCGGTGCATGAATTTGTGCATGGGTGGGGTCAGGCCAGCCTGGCCAGGGGGAGGGGACATGGGTGGTTGGCCAGCCTGCCTGTTGGTCGAACTTCTGGTCGAGGGGAAATTTGCATATTAGCCTTTTATTATATGCATTCAGAGATCATAATAATCTGGCCACTCAATGTATATTATATATATAAATCATAACTCTTCTATGAAATATTAACTCTACTTTACAGATGAGTAAATTGAGGCACAGATGAGCTAAGTGATTTTCCCAGGATAAAACAGTTGGTAAGAAACAGAGCTAGAATTTAAACACCAAAGTGTTTGGCTTCAAAACCCAAGGGATTAACCACTATATTCATGCTCAACATGTTCAAAATCATCTGATGTTACAGCACCATCCCTGTACTCTTCTCACAACACCGTCTGCTTTTATTTAGTCTTACAACTGTAGTCTGTCCATAAGTCATTGATACTAACCTCACTGTATAGTGATTTCTTTTCATCACATGCATGTATCTCCCTCATCTACTTCCCATTCCAACCCTCACCTCAAATCTTAGTCAGAGAAATCAAGCAAGAAAGAAATAAAAGGCATCCAAATTTGGAATGAAGTAAAATTGTCACCTTTTGAAGATGATAATTCTTTGTATAGAAAACTCTAAAAACTCCACCAAAAATCTACTAGAAACAATAAATGCATGCAGTAATATAAAATTGATATACAAAAATCTATTGTATTCCTTTATACTAACAATAAAATTTCAGAAAAAGAAATGAAGAATAAAATTCCTAGGAATAAGCTTAATGATTGATGTGAAGGACCTATACACTGAAAGTTACAAAACATTATTAAAAAAGATTTAAAAAGACACAAAGAAATGGAAAGACATTCTGTGTTCGTGGACTGGAAGAATCAACATAATTGAGATGGCTATCTTACCCAAAGCAATATACAGATTAAATGCAATCCCCATCAAAGTCCCAATGACACTTTTTAAAGCAATAGAACAAAAATCATCAGATTTGTATGGAACCACAAAAGACCCTGAGTAGGCAAAACAATCCTGTGGGGGGGGGGGGGGGCGGGGGGGGGCAGGGAAAATGAAACCAGAGATAGCACACTCTCTTACTTCAAATTATGCTACAAAGCAACAACAATCAAAATAGCATGGTATTGGCAGAAAAACAGACACACAGACCAATGGAACAGAATTGAGAGATAAAGCCACATGTATATGGGCAAATAATTTTTTACAAAGGAGCCAAACACAAGCAATGGATGAAAGAAAACCTCTTCAATAAACAGTGTCGAAAAAATTGGAAAGCCACATGCAAAAGAATGAAACTATACTACTGTTTGTCCCCATATTAAAAAGACCTAAATATAAGTCACAAAACAATAAATTAAATAGAAAACAAAGGTACTAAACTTATAAACTTTGGTCTTAGACAAGATTTTATGAATTTGACCCCAAAGTCAAGGGAAGTAAACACATAAATAAATGAATGAGAATAAATCAAACTGAAAAGTGTCTGCAGAGCAAAAGAAATGACCAACAGAATTAAAAACAGGCAACCAAAAGAATGGAAGAAGATATTTGTAAACAACAGCTCTAACAAGGGGTTAATATCCAAAATATATAAATAACTCATACAACTCAACACCAAACAATCCAATTAAAAAATGGGTAGAGGACCTGAACAGCCACTTCTCCCAAGAAGACATACAAATGGCCAACGGATACATGAATAGGGGCTCACCTTCCCTAGCTATTAGGGAAATGCAAATCAAAAGTATAATGAGATACCAGGTCACACTTGTTAGAGTGGCTATTATCAATGAGATAAGTAGCAAGAAGTGTTGGAGAAGTGGAGGAAAAGGAACACTCATGCATTGCTGGTAGGAATGCAAACAGCCACTATGGAAGACAGTAAGGAGATTCTTCAAAAAAATTAAGAATAGGGTTACCATTCAACCCAGTAATCTTTTTTTCTGAGTATCTATCCAAAAGTTTTGAAAATATTTATTCTCTCAGATATTTGTATCCCTTTGTTTATTACAGAAATTTCATGGTGGCCAAGACTTAGAAACAACCAAAGTGTCCTTCGATAGATGACTAGATGAAGAAGATATGGTATGTATAAACAATGGAATACTACTCAGCCATAGGAAAAGATGAAATACTGCCATTTGTGACAACATGGATGGATCTTTAAATTATCCTGCTAAGCGAAATGTTAGGAAAAGTCAAGAACTCAAATATGGGATATAAAACTCAAAGCAACAAATGAACAACAAAAAATAACTAAACTAACAAAAACTCAAAAACTCACAGAAAATAGTATGGTGATTATCAGGGGAAATTTAAGGGGTCAAATATATGATGACGGAAGAATATTTGACTGTGGGTGGTAGTGACACAATCAATATACAGATGATATATCATAGAATTGTAATCTTAAAACCTACATAATTTTATTAATCAACAAATTTAATTTTAAAAAGCAAATATATAAGTAAATAAAAAAAACAAACAAGAATGCAGCAAACCTAGAAACATAAAGAAAACAATAACCTCATGAGCATTCAGATAATTTCTTTATCCTTAGGCTCTAATTATTTGAGGATTATTTAAGACAGAAATGCTCCTCTACACAGGTTTACTTTATTACTAAACATGTAATTTTTGAATAGTTTGAATGTCCCAACATTCTTCTTTGTGTTCACTCAGTCATTCTCTCTCTGGGTGCCAGTCCTCTCAGAGTTTACATCTTCCTTTATCCTCCCAAATGTTTTGTGTTAGATGTGCCAATGGAATCCACAGCCATTGCTTAATCTCAGTGTCATCATTTGAAGCAGCAAAAGAGCTGAATGCCTTTTGTAGATAATGTCTCAACCAAAGTTCATATATATCAGAATAATAGAAGATTATGACAAGAAGTAAAAGGCAAACAAAATTTTCTATTTAAAAGAATAAAACACTTGAATAAAGAAATAACTAAATACAGTCCAGCCAGCATGGCTCAGCAGTTGAGCCATGAACCAGGGGTCATAGTTCGATTCCTAGTCAGGGTACATGCCCGGGTTATGAGCTCAATCTCCAGTAGGGAGTGTGCAGGAGGTGACCTATCAATGACCCTCATTACTGATGTTTCTATCCCTGTCTCCTTCCTACTTCCTCTTTGAAATCAATGAAGATATTTTTAAAAAGAGAAATAACTAAACATATACTATATAAATCTTCAAGTATCAAACCCAACTTTTAAGAGTAAATGGATTTTGTCTGATAAAAAGTTGAAAAATTAATTCTGCTGCATTACTTACTTGGTTGAAAATAAAAGGAACCTCTTTCTTCTCTCCTACTTTCATAGAAGAAATGGGAAATGTTGCTGTCCCCAGAGTTTCATCCATAACATAATTAGCATCCATCAATGTGATCTATAAAGAATATAAAAAATAGAGCACACATTTAAGATTCCCTTGGATCTCTGATTATAGCTAAAATCTCAATCGCATTAAAAAAATTAAAGTTCTCAAATGATGTGTGACAGACATGTAAGATCTTCAATATTCAACTGGTAAAATTATTTTTTTTCTTTCTAAATACTATATTTTCAAATAAAATAGTAATTTTTTTTTCATTTTCCTAATTGACCTGCTCATTATTGTATGGTGAAAAGTGAAAATATATTTCCTCACAGGACAAATCCTATTTTGGAATATGAGAAAGAAATTACTATAGAAAAATCAATGCAACCTTTAGGGGAAAATTTATTTTACTTACCATACTTTAAAGGCAATTTAAAATACCTTTATTCTGTTACATTTGGATCCTCCTCTTTATAACAGAAAATGTTTTCTCCAAAGCCTATGAGGGAGGATAAAAGGAATCTTCTCATTCCTACCTACTACTGCGTTTCCCTTTGGATGCCCATAACTTGATGTACACTGCCTAGAAGCAGGTCTGCTGTGCTGCCCAGCTGAACTGCACTGTATCCAATTGAGGAGAATGAAGGTGGGAAGGGGACAAACTCAAATAAACTCAAATGAACGCTGACCATCTCACAGTCCCCAAAGGATTCACTTACCTCCAACACATTTTCCTGATTAGGATCCAAAATAAATTCAAAGGTCTCATTCCACACCGGGTTTATGTCGTTGTTGAAGTGCCGCGTTCTCTTCCTGCTGTCAGGGGTTGAGGAGATGAAAAGCTCCACGTAGGGATCCGGAGTGTCAACTGCAGACATTGAGCACAAGCGAGAAGGATTAAGCACAATTGTGATTCATAGTTCCTAATTAGTTTTTATTAATATGTCAATTCATTTTCAATGAATCTGCTGGAAGTATTCAAAATGTCTGAAACAAGATAATACCGTGTTTTCCTGAAAATAAGATATCCTCCGAAAATGAGACCTAGCGCATGGAAAGATAAGACATCCCTTGAAAGTAAGACCTAGCACAACTTTGGGAGAAAAAATTAATATAAAGGCACTGTCTTATTTTGGGGGAAACAGGGTACATAACAGAAGAGCATTGTAGGTTATATACTTTTTATATGTTATGCCTCTGCCCTCCATAATAGTTCCATAAGAGGGATTCAACTTTAGATAATTTATTCAGAATTCCTCCATCCACTTAGAGAGCATGTTCACTGTAGTCAACATCTCAGTCCAACTACTAGATTTAAGTTTTCTCTGTATATGCACTCATCAAGGCAAATGAACATTAAAAGACTGATCATTCTCTCTTTCCTGATTTCAATGAATCCTTCATTATCTTACAGCATTACACACACTATATTTTATGGGTGAAATTATAACCTGTCTTTTTCTATAAGACCATCAACAACTTGAGGACAAGGACCAAGTCTTGCTCATGTTTATATTTTCAGAACCTCATAACTATCACAATATTTGTGTCCTAACTTAAGGACTCAACTTTTCTCTTTAACAGATTCTTTCTCATGTGTCCATTATAATTCATAACCACAAAAACTCTAATAATTGAATATGACTGCTGACATCTCTGTGAAGCACTTTATACACATTAGTCTCATTCAAACCTCACTAATGATGACAAGGTAAGTTCTTTGTTTTAGTGCTGAGGTAATAGGAGCTGAGAGCTGATAGGCAATCTATTCAATATCACACAGCTAGTAAGTATCCGAACAAGACCTGACAGTGAAAATCATTCTCTTCATGACACCATTCTCTTACAGGTTAAAGATGGGATCACAGGTTATGGATTGCTATGGAAAGAGAAACCGGACTCATCGTTTTAGAGAAGAAGAGAATGGGTAAGGTGAGGGAAGCAGAAAAAGTGGTACAGAGATTCACACAAAGAAAATCCAAAAATTGAAAACCAAGGAAAAGCAAAAATAAGAGTTCTGATTCATGATTGGTTTTCAAAGAAAAATTTTAAAAAAGTACACATTGCCCTAGCTGGTTTGGCATCAGCCTGCAGACTGAAGGGTCCCAAGTTCGATTTCAGTCAAGGGCACATCCCTCGTAGGGGGCAAGCAGGAGGCAGCCGGTGAATAATGTTTTTCTCATCATTGATGTTTCCACCATGCCACCAGTGCTCAGGTTGCAAATCAGAAATAAAATTATATGTTTAGAATAGCAAGTGGTAGAAGATTATGAAGAAAAATATTTTCTACTTTTGATTAGAAGAAAATATGTGCTTTTAAAGAGAATATTCAATTGGCACTTTACAATAAATGTACAAAATGTAGTTCTACATCGTTCTATGGGCCTGGTTCTTTCTTATAGGGCTAATGATGATAATCTATTTCCCTGAAATATTAGAAAAAATGAAACCTAAAGCAAAAAACAAAAAGTGTGTGGGAGGAGAAAACATGAAGATGGTAAACATTTATTCATTTATTCATTCAACAAATATTTAAATGCCTACTGTATTTGAGTGGCACTGCTCATTAAGAAGCGGTTTGATTGGGTGCCAAACACGAAACTGCAGATCAGAATTATGGAAGTGACTCAAATGCTAATAGCCTAATTTTAGAGGCAAAAGTAAATGGGAGACAAGTAGGTACAGTAAGCCAGTGACTAGTAACTTAGTCACCCAGATTATTAAGCACAAATAAACTCCAACCATAGGTGGAGGAACTGCCTTTTGAGGCGTGGTCTTCATATGAATCTTGGAATAGGTGAAGGGAGAGGTTTTCTGGGGCCAAATGAGAAAGAGAAAGCAGAAAGTGAAGTTCCTTGGGAGGAACCGGAAAGGAAAAGAATGCACATGCTGAAGTGGCGTAAGTCACGCATGATTTAAGCATCTTCTCGGCTACTCTGGCCTCCCAGTGAGTCATATGCTCTAAAAGCCAACCCTATGATTCTATGTCAAAACATGAATGAGCCTATTTATTTATTTATTTATTTATTTATTATCATTATTTATTTTTTAGAGAGAGTGAGAGAGGAAGTAAAGAGAGAGAGAGAGAGAAATATTGATTGGTTGCCTCCTGCACATGCATCAACTAAGGCCCCGGGAGAAGCCTGCAACCGAGGTGCATGCCCTTGACCAGAATCAAATCCGGGGAAACTTCAGTTCATGGGCTGACATTCTATTCACTGAGCCAAACCAGTCAAGACAATGGGACATTAAAAAAAATAATTTAAAAAAATCGAAATCCTCAAAGCTGTCACTTTGGACTCTTATTTTTTACCTTTAAATAAAGTCAATATTCTAAAAGTTTCCCTCATGAGTGGTAGTATTTCTAGTTCCTCCTCTTGCTTCATTAGCAAGAGACTTCAAAGTGAAGACATCAGGGAGAGCTGGTGAAACACCACTGGCAGCTGCACACTTGGATGCTGCAGCCTGCAAAGTGCTCGTCTGTGCTCTCAGAAACAGCGGGAGCAGCGGCAGGATGCAAAGAAGTTCCAGAAGCTAGTTTAAAACTGGTCTGCCATAGTCCCATAGCTCACTTCCTTTGGATAATCTGTAGTCTTCATTGGCATGGTGACCTGTGACGGCTTTTAAAAGGGAAAGCAGTCCATTTTGATAGCAAAACTTAGTTCAGTGCTTTAGAGAAGTTCCGAGATAAGCATTAAGGGAAAGAAAAGTCAAATGTAGATAAAGAGATGGCTTTTTCTTCTCTGGTGTATTTACTTCATGGCTTTGTGAATTTGTGTCTTTGGATGATTGGGGGTTGAGTCATGGATTCAGCTTTACCTCGATTAGTTCCAGCCAAACCGGTGGTAAAGCAAATATGTAATCTGTAGACAAAGACTTTTATCTGAATCTTGCAAAACAAAAATGTTGGGGGTGTGGGATACAGGTCTTTGTGGAGCCCACATGATTCCACTACAAGCATCGGCACCGCTTCCGATTTCCAGGGTTATAAAACGTTTCCTACACCTCACTAATTCAAGGAACACCCTAATTAATAGCAGGTCCAACTCTGAGCTTTGCTCGAGAAATATATATTATACGATGAAAAGCTGATGGCAACTTCTAAACTCCAAGTTCTGCTTTCTCGTATCCACTTCGCTCAGTAGCAACTTAAACCCTTTGCTTCAAATAAAGATGACCCAAAACCTGTTAGGATTACTATGTTAAACAGCAAAAAAATCTCTAGAAGAGAAATTCAATCTATCACATTCAATCTATCACATTCAATCAACTAAGATACTCCAGTGGCAAGCTTAAAGCAGTGTTTCTCAAAATGCAACTCACTACAATATTTTCACAGAATCACCTGCATGGGCTTGCAAATGTATTATTTAACAAGTTGGCCAGGTAATTTTCGTGCACACAAGTTTAAAAACAAAACAAAAAACCAAACAAATTTTAAAGTATCTTATTAGAATCAACAAAAGAATGATGGCATAATAACACCCACAGAAAAGTACAAACAAGTTAGCATTGAAAATTCAGCAGCCTTCCTGGCCTTCTGTCCTGGAGTTATTCTGCTCATAGGCGATATTAAGCAAGCCCAGTCATTCACACTTCTTTTTCTCTCCAGCCATTAAATACATTTTCAAGTAGCCACATGAACACAAATCCAAGAATAAAGTTCATGCGGGTGTGTTAGTTGGAAATCTGTTCAAGTTGATGGGCCAATAGTCAAGCTTTCTGCTTCACTTACCATCAGAGTAGGAATGAGTACCGGTAGTAGTGAGACCAAAAATGAAAGAGCCATTTGTTGAAAGAAATGTCTCTGAATACTATTCTCCAATGTACTCACGCCTTTGAAATATTTATGGTTTCATGATCATAGTAATTGCATGGAAAATGTAAAGCTCCTAAAGTTAAAAAAGGTTTAAAAACTTAAGGTTTTTATGATTGCCAATCTTTTCACTCTCCCTGTACTAGTCTGGCTCACTAAGATGCTGGCAAACACCCTAAGAAGATGGTCAGCCCCACTATAAATGTGTACATTTCAACAACTGATTAGTTCTTTTTTATTTAAAAAAATATTTTATTGATTTTTGGTTTGTTTTTTATAGAGAGGAAGGGAAAGAGAGTTAGAAACATCGATGAGAGAGAAACAGATCAGCTGCCACCTGCACATACTGGGGATGTGCCTGCAACCAAGGTACATGCCCTTGAAAGGAATTGAACCTGGGACCCTTTAGTCTGCAGGCCAAAGCTCTATCCACTAAGCCAAACCAGGTGTGGCTAGTTATTTTATAATGTCAAGTTTTTATTAAGAAAAGATAAAGTTAGAAGATTGTAACTGTACAGCTTGCTGAATTTTCATAAAGTGAACTCACCTATGATATCACCACCCAGATCATTACCATCGCTCTAGAAGGTTCTCTCTAGCTACCCCCACCCCCACCCCAAGGGTGAATACTCCCCTGCCATCTATTGCCATAAGATATTTTTATCTATTTTTGTTTTTTAATATTTACATAAGTAGAATCAGTATATATCCCTAGGTCTGGCTTCTTTTGCTCACTATTAAGCCTGTGAGATTCATCCATATTGACACATATAATAATATATTCACTACTGTTGATATAAACTCTTCCATTATATGAGCCACTATGGCTCAGTTGGTTGAGCGCTGACCCATGAGCCAGGAGGTCATGGTTCGATTTCTGGTCAGGGAATATGTCCAGGTTGTGGGCTTGATCCCCAGGAGGTGGCATGCAGGAGGCAGCTGGTCAATGATTCTCTCTCATTGTTGATGTTCCTACCTCTCTCCCCCTTTCCCTTCCTCTCTAAAATCAATAAAAATATATTCAGAAAAAAAGAATTTGGCTTGTGCACGTG